AGAGAAGAAAGATGGGGGGGGGGGACTATGCACTGACTTCACGTGGATTAACACCATTTGCCCCCCTCCCCCTCAGAAGGACATGTTGAATCACTTGGCCAAAGGCAAGGTGTTCACCAAGCTGGACTTGAGAGAGGCATATTACCGCATATGAATCGAGGAGGGGAATGAATGGAAGACCACATTCAACTGCCCTCTTGGTAGTTTACAATTCAAAGTCATGCTGTTTGGCTTAAAAGGGGCCTCTGCAGTCTTCATGCAATTCATCAATGAGTTGCTGCATGAACACCTTGATGACATTCTTGTCTTTACGGAGACCATAGAAGAGCATGTAAAATTGGTGCGGCAAGTCCTAGAAAAACTTCTGGCCACCAAGCTCTATGTGAAACTATCAAAGTGTGAATGCCACAAAATCTCCCTAGATTATCTGGGTTATCATATTTCCAGTGAGGGGATAGAAATGGACCCAGGGAAAGTGAAATCTATGCTAGACTGGCAACCCCCATGCACCTGCAAACAGCTACAAAGTTTCCTGGGATTTGCTAACTTCTATCAGCAATTCATCCCAGTTTTTGCAGAAGTTGCTCTGCCCCTGACTGAACTGTTAAAAACAGGGCCATCGCCGACAAAGCCGAAACCAAACTGAAGCCTATTGGGGGGACAATGAACTATCAAAAAAGCATTTGAGAAATGAAAATGGCTCTTTGCCCAAGGGCCCATCCTGCAACACCCTGGCCCAGAACAGCAATTCATAATCCAGGGAGATGCCAGTGATGTGGCGGTAGTGACAGTACTGTTGCAAAGGGACAAAGAGGGACTCTTTGCCATGAGCTTATGTCTCCAAAAAACTCACCGCCACTGAAAGAAGGTGGGCCATTTGGGAGAACTATGCAGTCCGTTGGGCACTACTTACCTGGAGGCATTTCCTAGAGGGGGGGGAAAGTGCCATTTGAGGTCTGGACTGACCATAAAAACCTCAAAGCCCTAAAAAGCCCCAGGAAGTTCTCTCCAAAGCAAGTTTGCTGGACACAATATTTCAGGAGATTTAAATTCGAACTGAAGCGCATATCTGCTGGGAAGAACTTGCTGATAGATGGGGGGGAGGTGGTTAGTTATGCTTATGTTAACCCCCTACATTATTCTCTTTACAGGATATGTAAAGCATATTAGAGGATATGCATATTACAGGATATGCTTTTCTTCTGAGGGAGGCCACCTGTCAGGCCTGCAGCCATCTTTTCTTTTGGATCTTAGGCCTGCCACACACTCTATTATTCTATTATGCATTTTCTATTGTGGGGAAATGGGAGGGGGGAATTATACGGAGTTGGATGATATGTAGCCATAACAAATTTTTTTCTAGAAAGCCAAGGTCTCTGCACCTAGCCAGAACTGGATGGGTGGAACTGCCAGCATGGCAGTAGAAGGTTGGATCATGTGATTGACCTGTGGGTGTGGGGGCAAGATCTTGTACTTTCAATTGGGTAGGGAAAACTGGGAAGCTTTCAGATTTGGGTCCCCAGATGTGCCAACATGGCTCTCTTAATACATTAGAACTTTGAGGAATTCTTTGCCTCGAACTCTGATTTACTTTCAGATGCTATTTGGAACCCTGACACTATGGGTCAGCATGTATCATAGGCCAGCAAGAACACAATCCACCTGGTCATCACAAGGGATCGTACCTATGGCATTTGTCGGTTTCCTGAAAGCAGTCCCAATAGTGGCTGGTGATCTGTCACAATCTCAAACTTGTGGCTATAGAGATAATCGAAAAATTTCTTAATGCCGGCAACTATAGCCAGGGCCTCTTTGTCAAGTTGGCTATAGTTGCATTCAGCGACAGCCAGGGTCCTTGAGAAAAACGCGACAGGGGCTTCCCTGCCATTTGGCAACAAGCTCCTGTACGGGGATGCATCACACGCTAACAGCAGCGGGAGTTTCTTGCTAAATTGTGCGAGAACGGCATTGAAAATCAACAGCTATATACAGTTCGGAATGCTCCAGCCTCTCTCCTTCCCCAAGCACAGGACATTTTCCTGTCCAGCAACCAATGCAGGCGCTTGGCTACCAAGTTATAAGTCCAAGGAAGGCTTGGAGCTTGGTCCTAATAGTAGGCATGGGCACATCTTGAATAGCTTTGGTCTTTGTGGCTGTTGGGTGTAGTCCAGCTGCGTCAATGAGGAAACCCAGGAATTCCACCTGGGGAACGGTGATGTAGCACTTCTCTTTCTTTATCTTTCCCACCTGCTGGAAATGGTGGAACATGATGCGGAGCATGGCCATCAAATCATGGTGGCTGGTTGCTGAAATGAGAACATCATCGAAGTAGGAGACGATATGAGGGATACCTTGCAGTAGGCATTCCATCAGGCTCTGGAACAGGCCAGGAGCCACGCTGACTCCAAACTGAAGGTAGTGGCATTTAAATGTTCCCCTGCGCATGATGATAGTATTGGCCTCTGCCATCTCATAATCTACCAGCAGCTGCTGGTAGGCTTGTGCCAGGTCCAGCTTAGCAAAAATTGTGCCCTCACCCAAAGAGTGCAGCAGGTGCTGGACCACTGGCACTGGGTAGGCATTGGCTGATAGGGCTCAATTCAGTGTGCACTTATAGTCCACACAGATTCCAATTGAGCCATGGAGCTTGATGAGAGTGACTATGGGGGTCTCCCATTTTGCATAGTCCACTGGTTCCAGTATGCCTTGTGCAATACATCTATCTAGTTCTGCGTACTCTTTTGTTTTAAGCGTGAAAGGTATGTGCCGCAGCTTCAGGCAAATAGGAGCGACCTTGAGATCCAGGTTGAAAGAAACTGGAGTCCCTGTATAAGCGCCCAGCTTGCCATCGAAAACGAGGGTGAATTCCTTTGTCAGAATGTCCAGGTCTGAGTTTGGACGTGATAGATTCTGCTGATCTTGAATCCCAAGGACTCAAACCAGTTGAGTCCAAGGAGGCTTGGCAGGGACCCTTCCACTATGATCAAAGGTAGGCTGCTGCTGAATCCCCTGAACTTGACCCTGAACTAACCGCTGCCAATGATAGGGATGTTGTTGCCGTGGTAGTCTCTTAGGGTCAAGTTACAGACTTGTAATCGTTGTTTGGCAAGTCGAGGCATAATTTGCTTGATGGTGCTTCAGGACATAATTTTGCACTCAAATCCCTAATACCCATATTTTAAATGAACATCATGGCTGACAGAAAATACAGTCAAGTTACTGTATTATATCTAGCTGTAGCAGAAAATGGCTTTGTTCACTTAAGGGCAACAAAACACAAACTAGTGTATATGTAGCATGAACCCACTCAAATACATTTATAGTTCACTGTGTCATGAAAATGAAAAATGAAAAGCCTACTGTAACAACATTGTCAAAAATGCATTAAGAGTTGTTAACCTAATCTTGCGTAGCTTCTTCTCTGGTAATACTGCTAACCAGAGCATACAAAACATTTGCTAGACCAATTCTTGAATACAGCTAATCTGTCTGGAACCTGCACTCCATATTGGACATCAATACAATTGAGCGAGTCCAAAGATATTTCACGAGAAGAGCAGTGGTGGGTTCCTACTGGTTCGGACCGGTTCAGCCGAAGCAGTAGTGGTTTGGTGGAACTGGCAGCGACCCAGACCTGCCACGCCCCCGAACCAGTCTCCCGGTTGGCGCCATTGGCGCTGCCATCTTGTTTTTCAGTTCTGCGCATACGCAGAACAATTTTAATTGCAATGTGCATGCGCGCATCAAGAACACGCACAAAGAATGCACACGAGTGAACTGGCAGTAGTGCCAGCCAGAACCCACACCTGGAGAAGAGTCCTCCACTTTTCTGCTTGCAGCAGAATACCTTATGCCACCAGACTTGAAATTTTGGGCTTAGACAACTTAGAACTACACCATCTTCAGTCTGACCTAAGGTAGTACATAAAATTATCTGCTACAATGTCCTCCTACCTGTCAAAGACTACTTCAGCTTCAAGCACAACAATACACGAGCACAAAATAGATACAAACTTAAGGTAAACCACTCCAAACTTGATTGCAGAAAATAGATTTCAGCAACAGAGTGGTCAATGACTGGAATGCACTACCTGAATCAGTGGTTTGGAATGTTATCTAATACATACATACATACATACCCATGAATTGGTGCTGGAGGGTGAGAATCTGAGTCTGTCCGGAGGCTGGTGAGCCCAGGAGCAGCCCAGCTGGGCACAGGGACGCGGGGCATCCCAAGACAGGAACCTCTGCCTGAAAAGCTATATGGGAGGTGAGAACGAGATGAGATGCCTCCGTTTCTTCTCCTTACCTTATCACCCTCCTCCCCCCGCCCATACCAATCCTTTCCCTTTGCCCTGCTTGGGCTCTTGAGACAAAGAGGCGCGATTTAAAGAGACAAGAGAGCCGGTTTTGGGGAAGAAAGCGGCAAAGATGTAGTGGCGGGAGGCGAGAGCGAGGCGGGACTCAGCAGAGGAGAAAGAGAAAGAGAGGAGGGTGGGAAAGAGAAAGAAAGAGAGAAACAGAGAAATAAGGAGAGAAAGAGAGGGAGGGAAAGGCACCATAGTATTATTTAGTATAATCCCTTTCAAATCCTTACAGAGCTTTCTCTTATTCAGTCATAAAGATTATCTCTAGTCTAGTCCAACTCCAAATCTAATTACTTTCATGTTTTCGTTGCAACAGTACAAAAAATGATTTGCCTCTGTTGCTTTTTTTTTCACTTTCATGTCTGAGCTATGAGGTTTTTATTTCCCATTCACAATTATGAAAATCCAATATGATTACCTTTTCCAAAGTCACTCGATTGTTTCCTCAATATTTTCTTTCATTTCAGGCCAAAATGTTAAGAAACGCGGAGAAAAAAACCGCGGGTAAAAAAGATCCTAAAAGAGATCGAAATAAGTTGGTTTGTGAGGGGGGAAAAGATTGTAAAGGAACTCGCAGGCTATTGTACATCCATTTTTTAAGTTTATGCAGCCGATGACGTAAGCGCATGCTCTCTTGCTCTAAGACTAAGCCGATCCGATGCAGAAAGATGTTATGGCGTTGGCTATGGAGTTTCAGCCGCGGAGGTTCGCTTATCTTTTGTCAGGGGTTTGCGTGTGTTTTTTCTCTCACTTAGGCCTGATGTCTGTGTGTGTATGTATGTATGTATGTGTGTATATGTATGTATATGTATATATATTTATATATATCTTTTTTTTACCTTGCTCAGTGAGATCACCTGGAGGAGCGGTCGCTGGCCTTTTTCGCTCCCGTCTTCAGGAGGGAGAATCCTTGCTTCTCGCCCAGGAGTCTACGCAGACGGATAACAGGTAAGGCTCGGGTGCCGGCGCCCGTCCCATGAGAAGTAGAACTTAACGCTTAGATTATAAGGCCCCATTCAGAGAGCGGAAGAATGCAAATAGAAGTGAAAGAAGGGCACGAGAGGGCCTTTTCACCCAACCTCTGCATTTTGGGGGAATGGGGGCATAGGTTTTTAAGCAGTCTGAGCAGCCTGGCTCATCTCTTCCTTGAGCGTTCGGAGAGGCCGGTGATTGAAATTAATTGGATGGTGTGATGTGTGTGAAAAGCGTGTGTGAAAAGCAATGCTTTTCAACTTCAACAACTTTAAGATGTGTGGAAGCCAACTACCAATATAGCACTTAGACTAATATTTAGCTTCATAGGGTTTTACAGCACTTTTTTGAGTGATTTACGAATGTCAGCATATTGCTCCCACCAATCTGGGTCCTCATTTTATCGACCTCGGAAGGACGAAGTCTGAGACAAACTTGAACCGGTCAGGATCGAATTCCTGGCTATGGGCAGAGTTGCCTGTAATACTGCAGTATAACAGGGCTCCAATTGTGTTTACATGGATTGTAATTATCAAGGTCCCTCTTTGCAGGTAAATAATGCCATCTGAAAGTGATTTGGAGTCTTTCCTAGTTGCTCTCATTCAAATCTTAGGGAGCAAGTGCTGCCACAGAACTGGCATTAGCTGCCATTGGCAGTGGAGAGGGGGGGACTCCCATCTGCTCAGGGTGCCATTTTTTGGAGGTCTGTCCATCAATGGAGATTTTCAAGCAAAGATTGGATCATCATTTGGGATGGTTTGAGGATTCCTGCCCTGGACTGACTAGCTTAACTAGAAAATCTTCAGATTATCAGAGTCATAAATTGTTTCCATCATTCATAAAATTCTGGTAAAGTTTTTTAATATGAATTTAAAATAAAAGCTCCTAATTTCTAAGTTTCATGAAGGAACTATGCTGCTCTAAATATTTGGTTCATATTAACTGAATGCTGTTTATGAATTGTATGAATTGTCATAACCAAGACACATTAAAGCAGTGTTTCTTAAAATGTGACCCTATTCTTAAAGGATTGTTCCTTAACACTGTCACATTATTTTTTATGATTAAATAAATATTTACAAATGCATCATTTTTAATTTTTAAAACAGTATATATATTGATAAATATAGCCCATGCAAACAAAAGCTCTTTTGAGATCCTTTATAATTTTTAAAAGTTGAAAGGGTCTTGACAGCAAAACATTTAAGAAAAAATTCATTAAGGTAAGGAATAGAAAGAAGAAGAAAAAAGAGATAGACAAAAATTAATGCCTAACTTTTCAATGCCAAATTGATTTGAAACCAAATTGAAAGATTCCACTATGTATACATGTAGTCTGAATATATATTTTAATATTTATATGTCATATTCATACTTTATAATTAACATTAACTATAAAATAAATGTTTATTTTTTAAAAAGCCCGCCCTCATCTCATAATACCAGTCATTTTCTCCCACAAGTTGAATGCATTGTTATAATTACTAGGTCTTACAAAAGCAAGATTTTCCAGTGTTGGGGGATGTGAGCTCTAAGCAATCTTTTTCTTTTATCCTATTTCTATTGGAAGAAAATAAAGCCAATTTTGGGGGACCTCTGCCTGTTTGCTAATTTTGGAGGAAAGTGGTGTTCTAATAAGTTCATTTTGGCCACAAATTGGTTTATATATAGATTAAACACCAAAGCAGCTAAAATACATCCCTGCTTTCCTCCCCTGAAGATGGAGTCTCATTGGCATAGTGACCTTTGCATAGTGCAGTGAACTTTGAATCTAGAGTTCTTACAAAGATAATGCATGAGCAATAGTAATCATCTATTAATACTGGTATGTAGAAACTTTGCCTGCTATGATGGCGAACCTATGGCACCTGTGCCAGAGGTGGCACGCAGAGCCCTCTCTGTAGGCTGAAAAACGTCATTTTGGGGGCATTTTCAGGGCGTTTTCTGGGGTGTTTTCTGGTTTGTTTTTGGCCCCCAAAATGGGCTGAAAAATGGCAAAAAAAAAACCAGGCATGCACGTGCTGGCCAGTTGGTTTTTGGGTTTCCGGTGCTCTGGCACGCGCAAGGACCAGCTGGCCATAGCACATGTGCATGCTGGAAACCCGAAGACCATCTGGCCAGGACGCACATGCTCACCGGCCAGCTGGTCTTTGGGTTTCTGGCACTCTAGCGCATGCACCAAGATGCGCATGCATGCACGTTCCAGTTTAGCCACTTGGTGCTGAAAAGGTTCGCCCTCACTGGCCTAAAGCAAGGCTGTCAAAACACGTGGTCCACAGGCTAGATGCGTTACTTGTTAGCCACGCCCACACCCATTTAGCGAAGGGGGGAAAAGTACCAATACATCATGTGACGCTGCCGTGACGATGTGAGCCTTGCTCTGGGAACTAGATCAAATGCAAGTCTGACATCGATATAAGTATAATTTAACAGATTAACTGAGTTGGAAGGCACTTTGTAAGTCATCTAGTCCAACCCCCTGCCCAAGCAGACCCTACAACATTTCTGACCGATAGCAGTCCAGTCTCTTCTTGAAAGCTTCTAGTGATGAAGCTCCCACAACTTCTCAAGGCAACTGTTCCATTGGTTGATTGCTCTTACTGTCAGAAATTTTTTCCTTATTTGTAGGTTGAATCTCTTCTTGTTCAATTTCCATCCATTATCAGTCTGGCCTTAGGTGGTTTGGAAAATAGCTTGATTCCCTCCTCTCTGTGGTAACCCCTCAAATATTGGAAGACTGTTATCATATCTCCCCTGGTTCTTTTCTTCACCTGACTAGCCATGCCCAATTTGTAAAACCTTTCACCATATATTTTAGTCTCCAGTCCCCTAATCATCTTGGTTGCTCTTTTCTGCATTCTAGAGTCTCAACAACTTTTTTATAGTGTGGTGACCAAAACTGGATGCAGTATTCTAGGTGTGGTCTTACTAAGGCTTTATAGAATGGTATTAATACTTCATTGATCTTGATTATATCCCTCTGTTAATGCAATTTAGAATTGCATTGACTTTTTTGGTTGCCGCTGCACACTGCTACCTCATGTTTAACTGGTTGTCCACTGCAAGACTCCAAGATCCTTCTCACAGTTACTGCTATTAAGCCTGGTTTCACCCAATTTATATGTGTACTTTTGGGTTTTTTTGCCTGTGTAAGACTTTATTTATCTACATTGAATTTCATTTTGTTAGATAGGGTCCAGTTCTCCAGTCTCATCTAGGGCAGATAGTCCATCTATCCCACTATCTATCCCTCCATCCATCTATTCCTCCCTCCCTCTATCCCTCCATCCATCCCTGCATCCCCCATTTCTTCATTTGTCCCTCTATCCATCCATCTATCTATTCCACCATCCATCCATCTATCCCTCCATCTCTGCATCACTCCATCTACCTATCTATCCCTCCATCTGTCCGTCCGACCATCCATCCTTCCATCTACCTAGCATCTGTTCATCCATCCATCCATCCATCTATCCACCCATCCATGTATCCCTCCCTCTATCTATCCCTCCATCTCTGCATCCCTCTGTCTACCTATCTATCCCTCCCTCTATCCCCCCATCCATCCACCCCTCCCTCTATTATCCATCCATCCATCCATCCACCCCTCCCTCAATCTGTTCCTCCCTATCTCTACATCTACCTATCTATCCCTCCATCTGTCCCCCCATCTATCCACCTCTCCATCTATCTATCCCTCCCTCCATCCACCCCTCCACCCCATCCATCCATCCACCCCTCCCTCCATCCATCTAACCATCCATCTCTCTCTTTCTATCTCTCCCCCATCTATCTATCCCTTCATCCCTCCCTCCTTCCTTCCATCTATCTATCTATCCATCCCTGCTTCCACCTATCTCTCTATTCCCCCATCTATCACTCCCTCCCTCCATCTATCTGTGCTCTCTTGCCCAGTTTTACATGTTCTGTGAATCCAACCATTTGAGCTGGAGGGGGAGTGAAGACTGGCAGGCAAAGCCAAGTGTTGGAGATCCATGCAAAATAAGGCAACTCCAACCTGGATCCTATCCGGGAGACACCCCTCCCCCCCTCTCTCCCTCTTTCCTCCGGCAGTGGGGAACCAGGCAGCCTGAGCACAGTTCCTATCTTGGAGGCAAACAAACAAATGTAGCTCTCCAGCTGAGAGGCAGCAGGGTGGAGCCCCACCTCCATTGATGAGAGCAGAGCAGGCAGCACGCGCACCTTCCCCGTCACCACGCTGTGGCTGTCTGGGAGGGATGCAGGAGCAAAACGCTTGGAGCTGCACTCGGAGTTTGCAAGCAGGTTCGGCAGTGCTGTGGAAGGGGTGGGAGGGTGCGCACACATGGGGAGATCTTCCTCAAGCGAGCAGCCGGGTTTGGCCAAAGTGCTTGAGGAGGGTCTTCCTGCCTTGTGCACCCTCCTGGGCCCGCCACAGCCTATAGTTTCAACCTATAGTTTGAAAACTTATTGAAGTTAAAGTTTAGCCAAAAATCTTTGGTGTGAGTTGTGCACAACAACAAAAAATTAATATTTTCATATTTAAGATTCATATTTCTAATCCTATTTTTGTATAGTAAAACATGGATACAGTATTTATACGGTTCCATTGATGGCAAACTATAGTCAAGAGATCTATATGCACATTTTGCAATAGTCCACATATATAACCTTGCTTTGCTAGATGAGTTGCCTTGTAGAGTACATATTTATTTTTTTCTTTTATTTAAATTTATATATTCTGCAGTTATGTAATTTTTTCTCTTTTTGAAGCTGGCGTGGCAAGCATCAGCAGCCCAAAACCTTTGGAGACAGGAATGTCTACTGCTATACTCCATTAGAAGCCTTTACATGGGTAAGCAGGCTCATATGACTTCAGTTTTCCTTGGTTATTCATCCAAATGAGATTGAAGGCATGTGTAAACTATTGACCTTACTATAATGGTCTCAATGCATTTTGTCATTTATTAGAGTACATTGGCTGTTCTTGCTTTGGAATTAATGAAACAAGCCCACTGGCTGCATTCTGTTCAACCAGATGGAAGGAACACTAAAGTTTGTCAGTCAAAGCCATGGAGTGCTGATTTGTCCCAATGTCATCAATCAGGTAAGCTTCTTAGAAAGTAAAATAACTGCAGATATAATTTCCTCCATAAAATAGCAGAACTGAATAAGTGTGGCAAAATTTCTGTGAGTTGCACATTCTGTTGTAGAAGAAGTAAATCCTTTTTTAAAAGGTTAAAAAACTAAAATATACTTAGTATGTTTCATATTAAGTTTAATGTGCACCTATCTGCATTAGCCTCTGCTTGCGCCAGAGAAGAGGACTAACAATTCTCCAGGGCTGCTGCGGGAGGGGCCACCAGTGGGTTATTATCAAGTCCTGATTGGTCCGGAGACTGAGTGGAGTTCTGGAAGCCACACCTCTCACTTTTTCCTTGACACCCCAGTTTTCCTCTCAGTCTGGTCCTAAGGAGATAGAAATCCTTTGGCTCCTGTAAAATAGAGGAAATTTTTAAATTAGTACAATTGGCCATTTAAATTCTAAATTGTGAGTTGCCTGAGAAAAATGGGTTGTCCATTGTTGCCTCCTATTCGGAAGTCCGGTATGCCGGTTCCGCTATTCAGCCGGTTTCCCAGCCATGTGGAGCCTGAGGTCCCTGTGCCGGGGGGTTGCCAGAGCTCCAAATTGCAGCTCTGCGGGAAACTAGCATTTCCCAAGCCGGCAGAACCTCGGCCACTCGATGGCCAGGCACTGGGATGGCGAGGAGGATCAGAGCAGCGAGAACAGCAGTGGCCATTGCTGTGGCCACGAGGCGACGGCCATTTTGAAGGCCCGAAGTTCATCGCATCGCTGATTGAAGCAGCAGCTCGGTTCTGCATCGGCTAACGCCACTTTGCCAGGAACTGCCTTCCAGCCTCCTCATACAGCCACTACACTGGCTAGGCTCCTGACCACCAGATTGAGCAGATAGGCTCAGGTAAGTAGAC